CGGGGGGGACGGAGAAGCGGTGTCACGTTGGCGCGGGAGGCCGCGGGCGCACGCGGTCGGGGGGGACGAAGAAGCGGTGTCACGTTAGCGTGGGAGGCCGCGGGCGCACGCGATGGGGGGAGACGGAGAAGCGGTGTCACGTTAGAGTGGGAGGCCGCGGGCGCACGCGGTCGGGGGGGACGGAGAAGCGGTGTCACGTTGGCGCGGGAGGCCGCGGGCGCACGCGGTCGGGGGGGACGGAGAAGCGGTGTCACGTTGGCGCGGGAGGCCGCAGGCGCACGCGATGGGGGGAGACGGAGAAGCGGTGTGACGTTGGTACGGGAGGCCAGGGCTGCACGTGGTCGGGGGAGATGCCAGATAACGGCAGCTGGTTTGGATGAAGAAGGAATTTCACTGCTTTGTCACACTGGCTGCAAATGTGATGCTTTGCAAATGCATCTATTTTTCAAGATACTTAAGTTTGATACTAATTCCTATAACAGGAATAGTGAAGCAGGACATTTCAGTTATTCATGATACTTGGAGGACAGTGATAAAATTGTTTATTATATTCATTTTGAAACATAAAACGTTCAAGATACATGAAAGATTCACAGTCAGGTATGTATCGTCAGTCGATTAATTCTTTGAGTATGATTATGAATGAAGCAATAGTACCACCACTAGGATTTTTTTTCCCTAGCACTAAGGAGTCATGTTAGTGGGGAAAACACACTAAGTTATACATTTAGATACCCTATGGCCTTGGAATCAGAGACAAGAATTTATAATATGCAACAAACAAAACCATGCATACAGCTAGTTCAGTGGTTCAATTTCTTCCCATGAAAAAAATCAATGATATAAAATTGGCTACATGCTTCTTTTGTATAAGTAGACACTTAAATATATGACAACTATATAAGGCACTTTTTTCGTGAGGTACAATGGATGTCATTCTGCAAGGGCCCACATCTGTGCCCATGGGTCATAACCAGATACAGAAGCTCCTCTACTTACGAATGAGTTACGTTCCGAACGCTTGTTCGTAACTTGAAATGTTCATAATTCGTTATTCAACATCATTTTAAGGGTATACGCAAGTACAAAGAACTAGGATGCTGGGAGTACGCACGCTACGCTGCTGCGCGACAGGAGTAGCGGCCAGAAGTCGTACCAGGCAGAATTGGGGCGCAGAAAAAAATTGATGTTGTAGACAGGAAACGGGATCCCAATGAAAACAATTTGGACTTACAGTCGTCTTCGTTCGTATGTCTGAAAGTTCGTAAGTTGAAAGTTCGTAAGTAGAGGAGCGTCTGTATATATCAATGGCCGAAAAAGGACCCACAAAGGACCGGTTTCGGTTTAGCGTCTTCGATCTGCCACTGGGATGTCAGGGTAGAGTAGGAACCCTGAGAAGGTGGAGTCGTTGGTGTTGTCGGCATAGATCCCGGTGAACTCCTCTTCCCCGTAGACCTGCAGCCAGACCTCGTCGCCAACATCCAAGTGAAGCACTATGGAGCCCGAGGCCTGGTCTGCATCGTTCTCCTGGAACTGGTCATAGGTGAACATGATCGTCTTGTCGTTCTTGTAGAGGCTGACCCTGGCGTCTCTGGGGTAGACAGTCAGGTGGTACGTGAAGAAGTAGGCACCGGGCAGGACACAGCGGAACTTGCCACTGACGTCGTCGTAGTGCCGTTGCTCGTTGTGGAAGAACTTGGTGAAGCGGATGGGCACGTTGGCGGCGGGCACAGGGCCGGTGAGGCCCACGCTGAAGGCCGAGCGGTAGATGAGGGCACTCTCCCCACGTTCACCCTTCATCCCTGGGTTGCCTGGAAAACCACGAGGCCCCATAGGCCCATCGGCGCCTTTCTCACCTGGTTCGCCCTTCTCTCCAGGCTCACCTGTGGAACATAAGAGGATTAGGCTCAGTTTTGTCCATCCCAGGGTAAAGGCCTCTGGCATTCATATCCCTTACCTGTATCTCCTTTGTCACCATTGGCACCATCATGCCCATCCCTGCCATCTCTTCCTGGGTGCCCGCTGTGCCCAGGCGTGCCTGGCACCCCGCCCATCCACTGGGCGCAAGGTTGCCTGGTATCTGCTGCAGGTGCCTCGGGCTCCCCGACCTCCCCGGGCTCCTCCTCTGCCAAGGCGGGGCCCCACCTCCCGACCAGCAGCAGGCCGAAGACCAGAGTCCACAAGATGCGTGCCATGACCCCCGACTGCAGAGTAAATGGAAGTTCTCTGTATCACATAAAAGAACTGCTGTACATCTGTACTCCATCCTTCCTGATTATATTCAGAGGTGGATAGTTTAGGTCCAGAAAGTAAAAATCCAGACCAAGTTTTTGTTTCGCCCACCCTGTTGAGTATAAGTCACAGAGTACTCAACTGGTTGGTTGAAACAAAAACTTGGCCTGGATTTGTACTTCCTGGACCTGAACTATCCACCTCTGATTGCATCTAGATTAAACCAGACACATCAAGTGGCTAAACAGACGCAGGCTGATTTGGGTCTGTTGTTATTTTCTATACTGACAGAGAACACTGGGATCTTCATGGGAGATTCTGGCCTTATTAGATGTAATCATTTCATCTGTCACTCTGGTTTCAGTAATTATGGTAGGGGTGGTCAATCTTATCCGCAAAGGGCCGGTGTGTATGCAGGTTTTGGGGATAACCTTTAGATCAGCTGTTCAAACCCAGGTCTGAGGACTCTTCAGCTAATCAGTCCTCTAATTAGCAATCTAATTAGGAAGCTGCAGCGAAAATCTGCACACACAGCGGCCCTTACCGGATAAGATTGCCCACACATGAATTATGATATTACTGTTGTTAAACCAAAAACTGTTACGGAAGTTTTAGTACTTAAAATTATGGTTCCATCCCTCCATCCATCCATCCATCCATCCATCCATCTTCTATCCATTTACCCTGGTCAGCAGCACCTACCTCAGGCAGCAGAGGGAACAGATTACATTTGATTTATTTGGTAATTTATCAATATTGATAACTTGAATTATGCTGTTAATCACCAGTTCAGATTTATGATACATGCAAGTGAGTCCCAGGATGGGGATGCAGAGAACCTGCCTATAACAGCCTATAACAGTGATTCATCATGTATTTATAACTCTGACAAATCTGAGGAGCCACTTAATGCAACAGGCTCATAGGAGTTTAAATGTCAATGTCTGAAAATGTTTTTATCTTAGTTTCATATCTGCATGCTTTGATACTTGGGCTAAAATTCAGTATATTGGCGCCCAAAACAATACTGATCTGCGCATTTATTTTTAAGGGAAATGAAATAGAGTATTGTAATTAAAGTTACCCATAGCTTATTTTAATACAGGATATGAATGAAATGATCCAGTGGGGCAATTTAATATTGAGACATGGGATAACCCTGGGAAGCGGTGCACGGGTCATGCTCAGAGTCAACGAGCTTCTCCGCTGGCAGAATACCCATTTTTGGGAGCACAGGAAAATCTGATTGCCCATGAAAATCCGTTGAAAAGCCACTACAGAGAAACTGTGTGGCAGAAGGATTCGCAAATGCAACATTATGAACATCTGCAGGAGCAACCAATAGGCACTGAAAAGCTGCTCTTCTCGGCGCCAAGATTTTAATTTAATTGGATGCTGTCTGTCAGCAAGTTCCCACCTGCTTTACATTCAGATTCATTCCAGAATATTCTCGGTAAATGTGTCAGACACTACATTGAACGTGGGGTGGAACATGCCGGAAGGCGGAGAGGAGGGAACGGGCTCCTTACCTTTGTTGGACCTTTATCTTGGGTTGAAGAGCGCTTTTGGACTGCTGGAAGAGAGGAGCGATCTGTCCCCCGCGGCAGACTGACACTATGTGTGTCTGTCCTTGCGGTTCATGCGTAACTTAATTCCCCGACTGTCTTTCGTTCTATATTTATCCCTGCTGAAATACATTTGCAGTTCCGCCATGTCCCTCTGTCATTCTACTATTCAAAGCCATCAAAGTCCTCTCAGCCTATTCTCATTGGATTTTTTAAACCCCCTTTACCCCACTTTAAGGAATACAGCTCTCCATAGACAAATGAAGAGCTACATTCAAATACATCCATCTACTAATATGGCTGGTGCTGCGTAAAGATTGCATACCGCTTTTCAGATTGAGCTCAAAAGTCAATTCTCAGTTCTTGCCTCAGATTAAAAGCTTTCTCAGAAGCACAATGGCCCCACTGATCTGACCAGGGTGAGCAGTGGATGACAGATGGATGGATGGATGGATAGATGGATAGATGGATATAGTACAACTGAAGTGTGCTTTGGTCAAATTACCAAATAGTAAAATACTAATTCACAGTGGTTGTTATAACAATAGTACTACCTTGTTTATAGCAGGCTTAACACCAGTAGACAACATTATTAGCATTTGTAGTATATAATGTTGAAATAGTGCTTAAATGAATGAATTCAGTACTTAAACATGAAAGTATTGTATTATATTTTTGTGTCACTGAACAAAGTGTATGTCCACTTCAGGAGATTAACTGTGATTTATAGGAATACCTGGATTAGGCTAAACCAGGATTGAGTTGGAGCACAACTGATGCATCGTACTTGAGTACCCTCTAGTAACAGAGTGTATCCAGAAGGGGGCAGCATTTGTCAACATAAGTAGATTGTTGTTTCCTCCATAATAAAATTGTCAAGTACAACCATATACAGTTTTCTGGATGAGGAAATTGTTTCGCATCTAAATATATTACTGTAATCTGTTACCATATATTACTGCTTTGTGGAATAGCAGTGATGAGCCTTTGTGGACCACAGTAGAAAACGAACGTTATGACAGTTTCCAGAACCTCTCAGACAGGTGATGCAAAAAGACTCATTGCCAGAGTTTTCAAGAGTTATAGAATTCAAGAGCTGTATGTGTGCAGTTAGAAAATTTAAACCCGGGTTCCGCTTCAGTACAAACCCGGGTTCCGCTTCAGTACAAACCCGGGTTCCGCTTCAGTACACTGTTGTTACTAAAATAATGGCCTTAATGCCAAATAAGGAGATTTAAAGATTTCCATCCTGTTTAATTATATTCTACATTATATTTGTAATTCCCTGACAACATTGTTTTTTCCTGGATTCAGAGCTTTAAAAACATAGCATTAGACAGTTAATGTGGGTATTAAACTGAAGGAGAAAGATAGTCTCATGTAGGGAAATCAAAAGGGATTTATTCCGATACTGATCCAGGAGGTGTATTTCAAAATCCAAATGGCAATGTGCCGAACGCATAAAGGCCCGACGTGCAAAGAAGGCAACCTTGCCCCTGCACAACCTTAATCAGTAAAGTCAGCTTTGTGGCAGTCACACAAACAATTACAGTATGATTAGAATAAAGAACGCAGGGATAAACACATATGTTAAAGCCCAACCTATAATCTGGAGGCAGGCACATCTGAAAAGGAGTTCCCTTTTTCTGTTTTTGACAATTCAATTTTCTCAGTAATTGGTTTTGGCTACATTGCTAACCACGACTGTTCCTGTTACAGACAAGGCATACATGGGAATGAGGTTATAAAGCAAGCCCGAGGCCGCTAGAAAACGGGATTTAATTCTACAATAATCTTCTATAAGCGAAAAAAAGGATTTGTCGCTTAAGGCAGACCACTTCCAATGTGGAAATAAAACTGTCATAGAGATTACATTTGTATTGGAACCCTCGCATGCAGTAAGTGGGATGCTCTTCCATTACAGGGCACATGCACACACTCTGAGACGCCAGTTAACCTGTGTGTCTTGACACTGTGGGGGGGGGAGGACACTCAAAGAACACCGAGACAGCATGCGGTGATGCTTTAGGTTATTAAAGTGGGGTAAAAGGGGGTTAAAAAATTATTGAATGGGAATAGGCTGAGAGCCAAGAGGCCACCTGGTCACATGTGATCACCAAACACACCAGCGATGCGTTTTTATGGTGGAAAAAATAACATCTTTGAGTGTGACCAAGAGAGGATGGCAAGGATGTCAAAGAGCTGCTACTTTGGAGCGTGATCGGGCCGGACGGATGGTCTGTCTCGCCACACCGCGAGAGGCAGGGGCAGGGTGACCGAGTGACACACTTCCGTGGAGAGATGCAAATCCCCAGAAGTCTATTTCATCAGTGAAATGGATTCACTCTCCTTCAGCAAATCCACAGAGCAGACCTTCAGGCAGCAAGTGAGGTTGAGTTAAATCTCAATGGACGACCTTTTTTGGGTGTCAGCGATTCACCTCGCCGCATATCCTTTCTCTCAGCAGTCTCTGCCAGCAGACCTGGTGTGAGCTGCGATGGAACTCCTTTATGTGCTCTGGGGGCATTGGGGTCCTGCCTGGGAGCTGCCCGGAAAAATGCCTGTTTAAAAAAAAACTTGTGTTTGACTGGATTAAATGGACCATTGGCACAATGCGACAGACTTTGACATTTCCTCTGTCCAACATCAGCCCAGCTTCACCTCAGGCACAGAAAGAGCATGACACTTCACCCTGATTCTGGTTGGTTAGGCCATCCTGATCAGCATGGCTTCTCCTGAGATATTCCGGTAGGGCCTCCAACAAACATGAAACATGCCACCAGCCTGTGGAGAAATCTTTAACCATCACATGGTAGAACTACATGATTAGCTCTTCACATTTAAAACCACCAGATATTCTTGTTGTAGTTCCTGTGCGACTATGTCCAGAAGCCAAGAGGAACGTGAAAAAGAGGACAATTCTGACACAGCTAAGGGAGAGATGAAGATTTATTCAGTGAAAAACGGAAAAACACATCTGCTGTTCTTAAATAGATTAAAACATGCAAAATTATGTTGTGAGATATTGTTCACATCTGTACCCTTGGTAATAGATGCATGGTACTCCTGTTAGACATGCCATCTGTAAAAGAACTGTGGCCTTTAGCAAGACTGCAGATGGGTTTTTGCTTTGATGCAGCATAAATAAACAGGATTATGAGGGCTCTAGATATTTTTTTTTGCTGCCTAAACTCAAACACAAACATTACACATTTCTCTGTCATTTCCCTTTCCCACCATTTCATGCAAAAACAAGTTAAACTACTAAACGCACGCACATCTTACAGTGACACATGTGGGATACATTACGTCCCCTATGTATTTACCTGGAGACCACATTAAATACATTGTCAGGTTCCAAAATGTAAATTATTACATCAGTGTAATGTCATTGTGATGTCACTATGATATCAGTGGCGAAAAACCAACCAGAAAGACAAAAGCCACCTGGAATGTCTGATCCCACAGTTGTGTACCCAGAACCCATTGCCACATGCAAAATGCACTGTGTGTCACATCCACCACAAATTAAAAAAAGTGTCTGTACACTGAGGAATATTCTTATCATCAACAAATACTACATACTGCATGAAACAACAGCTGGTGAGTAATAATTAATTTGACTAAAACTACTAGCTTGAACGATAAGGACTGTGGCAGTATGGCATCCACTGTGAAGAGACTCATATTTCAGGGAGGTAATTTCCTCAAACAGATGATTTAAAAAAGACTGAACACCAGAACATAAGTGAAATTAAATTCGGTATTAGTTTTTCCAGGAGCTGGAGTGGTTACGTTGTCTCTCATATTCATTTGAAATCAATTCACTGCCATCTGCGATTGAGTTCAGCTTCTGCACATGACTGATGACGTCAGTCTTCAAATGTCGCTACTCACAATGCATAGTATTGCATTCAGTTCCTGTCCACCGTGCTGCAAAACACACTCGCTATATGTAAACAGATCTCCAGCAGTTTCGGTAATATTGGTTCTAAATAACTTCAGGCGTACCGACAGAGGAAATGTTTGTGGAATAGAAGAGCCAACCCTGCAATTAAATGCAAATCCCCATGCCCCCCCCAGGCGCCCCCTACTTCATCAGATGGCTTCTTATAAAGCTCAAATGGACAGCTATCTGACAGTGCTGATTGCGAAAAAACCCCCTGCCCATGTAGCACAATTGGATGTTGTTCTAATCTAAAATTCACCTATGTGTTTCATGGGTCACTGAGATTTCCATTTCCATGCATTTAGAAAATTGACGTGACTGCAGATCATCAGCATGGGTATTATAGCACAAAAATCGGTGTCCAACCCAGTCTCCACATGTTGCTCAGGCTACTGCGTCATTGCAGACCACCGCATGTGTCTGGGACGTGCGTTTCCAGTCTTTGCAATAGACCAGTTGACAGCAAACCTTCAAATGGATGATTTGCATTGACCATTAAGACATGAATCCAGGTGCTGAATATTTCATCCATCTATCTATCTTCTAACTGCTTATTGCAGTCAGGGTCACAAAAATCATCAAGAAATAATCTTCTTCCCCCAATGAAGCTAGTGGTTTATTCCGCTACTTTCAGATCAGAATGTCTACTGTACTCGATGACATCACAGATGGTTGCCCCTCTGACCTCCTCTCCCTGCACCCCCCAAGAAAAATGGGCCTTAGCTTTCCTCCCAGTATTTCCCCCACTTGATTTCCGGCCGCTTATCTCCTGTAAGGCGCCATGGGCTAGACCTCCCCAGGCCCGCCGCCACTCGCTTTGCCACCGTGCATTGTGGGAGTCTGCTTGGCCCTGGCCGTCACAGTGGGTTTGCTGTCATGGGGCACCGTGAGGCGCCACCTTCGGAGGAACTCCTGGAACTGCGGGCGTCGCACATCAGCAGACTCCGGAAGCATCTATAGAACTCAGACCCTCAGTCAGCAGGCGCCCCTGGCAGCCGCCATCACATGGGAGAACGAGCAGACCTTTAAAACACATTCATAAGCAAAACTCCTGCACTCACTCACCATGAAAGCTTGAAAAATACTTATAGACCCTGAACAAAGCTTTTCTCCCTGACTGGGACCTTGTTAGGGGGCTGGTGCGTGGCAAAGTGGGTTGAGGCACTGTGTCTGTGATCAGAAACTCCCAGATCAAATCCCCTGGTCCGCAGTAGCGCCCTTAACCCTCTCCAGGTACTGTCTGCCTTAAAGCATCTGCTAAATTATTAAATATAAATGAGCCTGTTCACATGAAAAGCAAACTCATACAGCAGATGGGATGCTGAAATTAGCCTGACATCTACCAACTCATTTGATTTGATTTACTCAAATGTCTTTTTCCAGCATCTAAAGCATCCCCATTCTCACCTTGTGTGGAACTGTGCTGGCAAGTAAGGCTCAGTACAAAAAAGGTGATTGTTATGCTTGTTGAAGCGGCTGGACTTAAACTGAAAAGCATCAGGGACAAGCTCTGGGGATTCCCTGTCTTGACAGACCCACAAAGGACCCGTCAGCTTAAAGCTTCCACGCAGGGAAATTAATTTAGCTGCAGGATGTTCACAGGAAGCCTGCAGGAAACGATAGAGGCATCTCGGCTGGGCGTCCTCCTCTCCGAAACCGGCCCAGCCCCAAACCCAGTGTCTTTCATTCTGCTACCACACATGGCCACTACTTGCCAGTAAATCTCACCAGGAATGACACAAGGGGCTCAGAAAATTGGTTCCTGAATAAGTACGACACAAGTAAATGGCAAACAACAGCAGGGCATCTCAACAATTCAACAATAATGTTGGTTGGCGGGGAGAGTAATCGTTTTGCCTTAGCTCCCCCACCCTGCTTTGATTTAGTTATTAAGTGTTTTTATAATCAAACTGTTGGGGGTGCGCTGTCTGTTTATGACCCATTTCGAGAGAAGGCAGATCTGTAAAAGAAAGGAGCATGAAGCCTGCTCTCTGTTCCCAGCGTCATGTAGCATAACAACACATTGCACACTTTCAAATTAAAGATTAAAATTTCTTCCGACGGATGTCAAGCCCCAGCTGTTGGTTAAACTTGAAACAAATGTTTTTCTTTTCAAGGTTACTAATAAAATTAGAATGGAGTGCAATTTCAGCAAGGGCAAAAAGAGACAAGGCCGCCATCAATGTGATTCAGCAGGGATGTGGTGATTCAGCAGGGATGTGGCGATTCAGCAGGGATGTGGCGATTCAGCAGGGACGTGGCGATTCAGCAGGGATGTGGCGATTCAGCAGGGATGTGGCGATTCAGCTGGGATGTGGCGATTCAACAGGGACGTGGCGATTCAGCTGGGACGTGGCGATTCAGCAGGGATGTGGCGATTCAGCAGGGATGTGGCGGGGGGCCTTTTTGGGGCTGCCGTTGAGTCGTGTGTGTTGGGATCACTGAACATCAGCCCCATTCACCGTGGCATTTAGCAAGTAGCCAGTGGCTCCCGAGTGCAGGCTGGCGATGGAACGCGTCGCTTTCAGTTTAGCTCCAAAACATCGACGACGCTGCGAAGACGCGATCCTGCTCCCCTTGAGAAAACGTAGTGTACTTAGTATACTTCCTGCAATGCACGTATACTCATAGTCAACTACATTTCTTCAAGGAAAGTCAATAATATTCCTGCTGATGCTAATGTAAACTTTCAGTTGCTGTGGTATGTGTTCCTTGGGAGTTAAGGCTGAACTCACCCAGAGGACGGGGTTGGTAGGTTAGGGACCACCGGCTCCTGAGGACGGGGTTGGTAGGTTAGGGACCACCGGCTCCTGAGGACGGGGTTGGTAGAGGACGGGGTTGGTAGGTTTGGCTTACCACCGGCTCCTGAGGTACCCACATTTGCTGAGCGTTCTCAGCTAAAACCCTCCGTGTAACAACCGTCCACTCAATCATGTTCCGCTCCTCATCTGTGAAGGTCTCTCCACAATAATTCAACCGCAATATAGTTCACACACATAAAATTGCTCTTCTTCTTGATGAACTAGTGCGTAACTTATAGCGCTATTGACACACAGCTGACAATAGCTTAGTTACAGACTGGGTCCGCTGAGGGCAATTTTAAATAAAACGACATCCAGTCAGTAACCAGACAGCATTAAGTAACACTCAGCCACGGAAGGGCAACAGCTGAGGCGATTCATGGAACAAAATATATTTATTCCATGAAAATGTATTTTTCATAAATTTCACTATATGAAGCCAAACGCATACAAGGCCGTGTGAAGCGTAGCAAACATTCAGCTGCGTGGAGGAAGACGGATAAGTGGGTGAGAGGCTGTAAAGACCAGATTCAGCACAAGGTCAGAGCATAATGAGAGAGAAAGAGAGGCTGGCAGCGGCGTGAGAGATGAACACTGCGGAAAAACACAGAGAGCGGTGTGGAAGCCTGAAGTGTCCATTACATAAGAACATAATACATTTACAAACGAGAGGAGACCATTGGGCCCATCAAGCTCGTTTGGGGAGAACTTAACTAATAGCTCGGGGTTGTTAAAATGTTATCTAGCTCTGATTTAAAGGAACCCAGGGTTTTAGCTTCCGCTACACTAGCAGGAAGACTATTCCATACTCTAACTACACGCTGTGTAAAGAAGTGTTTTCTCAAATTCATTTACAAATATCCTCCCGCCAATTTCCACTTATGGCCACGAGATCTAGTATTTAAACTAATAAATACTAGATAAATACTAATACTGTGTACGGCGATTCCAAGGGGACACGTCACGCACAAAGTCCACTTAGAGACACTGGTGAGCATCTGTTCCCTCCTTTAATAAGCAGTTACACAACCAGTACATTTAAAACTACATTTACTGGTCACAGCAGTATACAGGCAGTCCCTGGGTCATGACAAGATCCGATGCCTAAGTCTGTCTTCCGTTAGAATTTGCAGATAAGTCAGAACAATAATAATACACACATTATACATAATAATACATAATAACAATAATAATACAGCATTTATAAAAGTAACCACACGCTGTACTGTCACAAAGTAATGTGTGCATTTGCTATTACTGATCATTATATTTAACCAGAATTTTTTTACGATACACTTTATAGTAGTCTATGTAATGTAACTATAGTTATAGAGAGTTCAAGTAGTCCATCAGTCAGACATTCTTAAGCGGGGATTGCCTGTATATATTATATATTGCATATTTTATTTATTTATAGGGAAACATGCAACAGGGTAGTGAGCATATCAAAATGTATTTTTCATAAATTTCACTATATGAAACCAAACGCATCTGGGGGAGGGGCATACTCACCAGCCGAGGCCACGCCCACTTTCTCCTTCTTCAAAAGTCCCCCTGGTGGACGAGCCGACGAAACATGTATCTGTACAGCAATTCTAGTCTTCAACTCGCCTCAACTCACAGTCTCCATTAGTATGGGCTGGGAGGAATTGAAGACTGAAAGTGACATACAGGAAAAGGCCCCCCCATTCGGGAGGGGACACTCCTCGCGAAATCGTGGATCTGTTTTCCGCCGGAATGGAGAAGTTGGCGATGGAAGCAATAGCAGCAGTAACACGTAGATCGAAATTTGCCAACGCGCCTCGTTGCTTGGTGGAAAACGAAAAAAAAACAACAGCTCAGAAACTGGACGAGGTCATGGAGACCAGTGACGTACTGCTGCCGCAGCGCAACCCACCCCACAGCCGGGAGAGGGGGTCTCCATACAGCCCCCACCCTGCTGGGCTGCAGCTCAGTGTGTCAGGCTCCAGGCCAAATGCGTGAGCTGACCTTGCCTGCGAAGACCCATCTGTCCTTACGGACTTCCGACGAAGCCTGACATCCCTTATCCTGATCCTTCATGTCCCAGCCAGGAAAATCCACAAATCCCATTTACTCTGGCCCATAAATACTATGAAAGGAAAATAATAAATGACTCAATTACGTCTGAGCATAAGATTTGCTGTGAATCTGGCGCTCCAGCAACATGATTAGAGAAGATAGATGAAACAGCGGGATCCTCAGTACTATTTCAAACTAAAATAAATGGGTTTCTATTGGCCTTTTTTTCAAGTGACGTCTTATGGCCTTAGTGTTTTAGGGCACAATACGTGTGCGGTCCTTATATTCTGGTCTTTGCTATTCTAAATTGACACACCAATCAATCGGGAACTTTTTGCCTTGTGAATACCATCCGGAGGATCCGCTGCTCGCGCTTTTGACTCAAGGCTGTGTTACCACGCTGCCCACCTTGATGTTGGGGGGGGGGGGGGGGTGTGGTGGGGGAAGTAACAGAAAGACAAAGTTAGAAGAAGGAGCTGCAGTCTTTGCTGGGGGGTTGACTATCTCACTTCCTCAGAGACACAAATACCGCAAGGTCCATTCTTTTCGTCGTCTCTTTGTTTGGGTGATGTTTCAGTGGAAGGTGAATTTTTAACAGGTCCGCCGAGAAACTCAGCAGCAGGTTGTGGATTCCTCACTCTGTGCTGGGTGTCGGCCTGTCATAAGTCATTATTTCTTGTTAGATCTGCCTGTTTCTGGGTGGATTTCTTTTCTGTAAATAAATAAAAGCCCCGGAATTAGGTGTTGAAATTGGGATGTATTCCTGCACGGAACAACAAGCATGTTCTTTAGTCTGTTGACTCTATAAAAAACTGGGAATAAGAAGCGGTAAAAAGGGTCGGCACAGACAGGGAGGGATATCTGACTCATCCTCCCAAGACGACTGTCAGCCCCTAGCACAACAAATAATTGAAGAGCGAGCATTTGCAGCGGAATAAGGGGCACGGAAGGCAGCCCTGGATTTGGCTCCTTTACACATGACCTGGCTCTGTCCCTGATCTGGCTTAAACCCTCCTGAGAATGTCAGCACAGCACACCCTCCTGATAGGGGCACGGCTGTGTCCTTCCAAGTCCAAAAAAAGAATAAAACATGCTACAAAAGTTCATGCAGTTTCCAGCTCTGATTCATTCCTTCGGCTTAGAATTGACGACGGTGTTCATATTGTGAGTTTAGCCAATTATCTTAGATAATTACATTTATTAAAAGCCACTGGCAGACGCCCCTGACCAGTCGAGTCTCAGAGATGCCAGCTTTCATCACTCCGGATGCATTTTTGCAGTATACAGACGTTCCTTTTGGCAAAAAAAAAAACGCCCCAGTGTCCTTTCAAAGGCTGATGAGTCTGGTTCTGTGTGGGATTAATAATTGTGTTGCTTATTTGAATGAGTACCGTGGTTTGCACCTCGACCTGGACTGAAACTCTTGAAAGCCTCCAGAAGATTTTTCAGCATTGTGACCTTAAATCTGGCAACGTGTGAATTTGGAAAAGCCACAGTTACTTATTTAAGGAAGGAGGTGGGCCGAAATATGGTCCGTCCAGTGGATGCCAAAGTGGGGGCTAATCGAGATTTTCCGGTGCCCTCCACGAAATGCGAACTCTGACGCTTCTGGGTAATGGCAGGATATTATGGTGTGGGTTCCAGGAGTTTTGCCATAATGGTTTTTTCTTGAACCAATTTACTTCACTTTACATGTCGTTGTACCCGGTCCCTTGAGTGTTAGTATGCTTTTGGGAGTATGACAGTGGATTTTCCCCTGTGCTTAACTTTGTTTGCCATTTAAATTACCTGCTGTTTTTTACAGGAAGATGCACTGGCCATTGATCATCTAGTAGCACATTTTTTCTAAGAAATCTAACCGGTACCGATTCAATTATCCCACCATTGTGAGAAACACTAGTTATGCTGCTTGCTTTACAACATTTTGAAGTCTGTGTAGGTTCTAATTCCCAGGAAACTGTAGAGTACATAGAACACAATCCCCTGGTATTTTGGTGACGCCTGTATAACTGATGAGGTGGGAACCACACAGCCTGAATTACATATCAGACATCAGGCATAAATGGGGAAATGGAAATATGGTCTTTGTCCCATGTCTAATGTTTCTGTAGGCATCTGTCTTTTATGGGGGGTCATATTGTTTTTTTCCCTTTTTATTCCCCTCCTATCCCCATTTTATCTGTCTTCAGTTGAAGACGTGACAGGTGTTCTCCTGGACAGTTTTGTGGGAATGTTTAGCTCTCTGCACCAGAGCCTTTATCGCTATTGGAACATCCACTTCAGACTTTGCTGGTCTGTGCCGGTTGTGTAATTTGTATGTACAGGCTATGTGGAGGTGATATTGTCACCCGCACCTTGCGACCACTATGGAGGGTGAAGTGTACACTGTACTCAGGAGGTGCCATTGATTTTCTTCTTGTATTTTTCTTTTGTACTTTTGTTTCCCGTTTATTTAGAGGGCTCAGTTTGGTTGGTGGTTCAGTGGTGGAATTCCTACTTGCTCAGGATCAATTCTCGGCCAGCGTATCTGACTTTATTTGCTATTTTGGTGCCAGCTTACCCTGAACCCATATTGCTTGCCAGAGGTGGAGATGATCCAGACCAAGATTTTGTTTCAAACGACCAGTTGAGAATAAAGAGTCACAGTCACAGAGTAACTCAACTGGTTGGTTGAAACAAAATCTTGTAGGCATCTGTCTTTTATGGTCTGGATTTGCACTCTCTGGACCTGAAATCTCCACCTCTGCTACTTGCTCTGTTTAGCTTATTTCATATTTTTTTATTACTGTCTAATATGCTACTTCATTGTCCTCAAGCAAACCAGACTGCTTGTGTTCCTCATTCTACCCCTGTATGTAACACCCTTCATTAACCCCTAGACTGCCTTGACAGACACATCAAGGCCCCCAGCCCTGTCTCTGATACACATTTGTTTGTTAAAACAAACAGACATCTGCCTTGTAAACAAGAATAGCTTTTGGTTTGGGATGCTCATCAGGTCGTCCCTCTCTGACTGCCAGGGTGCGTGACAGCAGCTGGACCATCATACCGTAACAAGAAACAGAGAATCATGGGAGAAAGCGTAACGGTCTTGTGTGACAAATCAAGCCACGAAACTATGGAGTCCTCGGTACATTATCTGTCCGTTTGTCACTGTCCGTTCGCTATCTATCCATTCGTTATGACTCTGCAACTATTTACCACAGCCTTTCCATTCTTGAATTTGCCATAAAGTTTGAGGCGACGTTCAACTTTATCCCTGACAGCCAGCCTGATGTGGGACGTCTAGGGGTCAGCTGGAGCCGTTTGTGCTGACACAGCGAAACGTGTGCTTTAAACAGACCATCTGCATCCCTCACCCACTCCGGTCTTGCTTCCCACTGCGGGAAAGAGGAACACATCTGCACCCTCCTGAGTACTGGGGGGGGGGGGTTTGCTGTAAATTCAGCTCTATAAATAAGTAAAATGCGATGCAAGTTGGAAGGAGAACTATCTCAGCCACTCAGCCCCTGACTGCAGCACCTAATCCTGAACGATGAAGGGACCCCGGATCCGGCGAGCGGATTCTCACCAGCAGTCGCTAAATTAGCATTAGCGTGGCGCTGACACAGCAGCACGGGGGAAAAGGTGCAGA